TACCTGGGCGGTTGCAAGAGTTAGCCGGAACCTGTGCTGCAATTCCTATGCCTGAATTTAATTGAACTTCATGACCTATCAGCATGACTCCTGTTTGCCTCATGCCCCACACCAGACCAGATGTGACGTCATTTCTGACACTCCGAATTTGCAGGTTTTCCACACACCAGCAGGAGGTGCCAATTGCACAGTTCGGAGGGAATTAATCTGTGAGGGACCAAACATCATCAAGTCGGCGAGGCAGAACAGGTCAAAGAAATGTGAGGAACAGTGCCTTTCTGATCTCGATCAATTTTAAAGTCTTCAAAATCATAATATCATCCATTAACATCCATCAATATCCATCAACATGCATCAATATCCATCATCAAAATCTGAATCAGATATGATGTAATCTGATGACATTTTCCATGTTACTTAATATTTGCTGTTTATCATTTTTGGTATCCCATGGTGGCGGCCCATCGCTCATCACCAGGCCAAGGCCACCGAAGGGGCTTTGGCAGCCCCTTCTGGCGTAGTCCTGAGCCACATGAAAGTTGGAGACCTCAGGGGAGGCGAAAAGTTGGGGAAAAAAAACCTAAGGTGGTGATGATGATGATTCAGGATGAATATGAATATGATGGTGATGATGATGAATGATGAATGAATGATGAATGATGAATGATGAATGATGAATGATGAATGATGAATGATGAATGATGAATGATCAATGATGATCACTGATGATCATTGATGATCATTGATGGTCATTGGATGTAGTTTTTCCGAACTTCAATTGTCTTGAGTAAAAATCAGAATGTTTCGGAACGATTTCTGCTTGTTCTCAGAGACGCTTGGAAAATCTGGATGGGGGATGATGATGGATGATGAGGGTATGCATCGTACGCGACTCTTCGTAGCAGCTGTATAAGCCGGTATCAAAATTGTCTGTGGATCCAGTGTTTTGTGCATATTTGTGCATATAGTTTATATATATATATATTATTATTTTATTTATATATTATTTCCTGGTGTCGCATTTGATGACACTGAAGTGAGTCTGTTCCCGGACGATCACCAAGTACCACTTGTGCACTGGTTCATTTGAGAATATATGAGAGCAGAGAATCAACACTCCTTGAATCTGATATACATCTCTGGAAATCAATTTTGTTACTACTACTACTACTAGGGTGCAGGTGGATACTGCCTGATCCATTGCCTTTCTCTGAGGTCAATGGGCTATGCCCGCGATGCAGCAAGTTGTTACCGCAGTCTGAAGGGTTTCAAAAGGGAGATGGTGAATCTGAAAGATTCTGGAGATTGGATCTTAGGACATGGAGCCAACATGAGTCAACTGTCAGCATTTTATAGCATTTGGAACCAGGGCAGCTAGGGCAGCTAGGGCAGCTAGGGCAGCTAGGGCAGCTAGGGCAGCTAGGGCAGCTAGGGCAGCTAGGGCCAAGGAAGTTTTTTTTCTCACAAAGATACCTGAGTAGCCTGAGTTGAGAGGAAATTTCCTTGTAAAGCGCAGACATGAATATATATAGACCGTCCCGTAGGGAGAATCGATTTCTCAGTGGGAAAGGACCTACGGGGTGCCTTCGGAGCCGCAGAGTTCTACAGTTTTCGCAGGTGGTTTTTGGCACCGCAGGGTGTACCGCAGGGTGTACCGCTGTTTGGGACCCTGCGTGGGCTGAACTCTGTGGCTCTGGACGTACTGGTACCTCAGTGAGCTTTCCCCCAAGAGCTTGGGCGAGGTGCATGGTGGGGTGAAACTGTGCATGGCAGGATATGGCAGGATGAAACCTTGGGCTGTGCCCAGAATGTTTGACTTGGCTGGCACCTCAATACCAGGCTATTGCGTGTCCACACAGGATCTGTTGCAGTGCTGACACAGATTGCCGCAAGCGACAACGCAACACCATGCAGGGATGATTCAATCGTTATTCCTTCCTGGGGGCGTTCTGTTACGCAGCTTCTACTCCGTTGATACAATGGGGCTTTGTGACATTCCACGTGTCCATGCTCGTCGATCAATACCGTTGGCCGTTGGACCAGAAATAGAAACATAAGATCCACTATATAGATCTATATAGTCAAACATTGCTGACATTTTTGGCAAGACGTTCGATGATGTTCGAAGTGTGGCACTCCTTCAAGTGCATGACTCACATTTTGTTGACACTCCCGTTCTCAGCAGGAATTGTGATCTTCCATTGATTATACAGAACATGTCGTTTGCTGTGGTCTCTTTGATTGCAGCTACAAGTATACAATTATCAAGGTATTGTATGGTATTATAGGGCAGGCGATCAGACAATGGCCACATTGGTCAAGTTGTGTAGCTCCGGCAGTGAAATCGAAAATGTGTTAGGACTGATATGGTATGTGCATGGAGAAATTACAGGACTCCCAAACCCTCCCTATACTGTATTTGATGGGAACAACACACTATGTTTTCCTGTCCTGTATATTTTTCCTTAATTTGCAACAATCAACCGCAGATGTATACGCGGCCGTTGCGTCAGAGCTCAAAATCACACGGATAGTGCTGCAGACCCATTTCACCAGCGCTCAAATAGATATTTGGAGGGGTGCATCAGTGGATCATCAAACTGCGTTTGGCAAGACAGGCCCAGCCTGCAAAAAGTTGACCACCAGCATGTTTCGTGGAAAGTTGAAGATGTTTCTTTGAAGTTTGATCGATCATCCATGTGTACAGACTGCACCATTTTGCACCGTGACATCAAGTCATGAGATGAACCAGTTGCGCTTTTGGGCAACTTGGAGAATGGCAAAGGGACTTCTGACTTTGGGGTTACCTGGGTCAAGACGGTGAAGTCTTCTTATGTCCTCTTCAGACATGTTCTGTGATATGCCACATCTTACGGTAGCCAAGAGATGCCAAGAGTAAACTTCGATGGTTTTTGTTTGGTACAGAATCACAGTACTTCTGCAATTTGCCCGGGATCCGGGAGGTCAAATCTTTGAATTCACCCTGCAGCATTTTGCACATTTTGCGTCACGTCTCCAGCCGTCCAGCCGTCGCAAGACAAGGCGACCTAAGATGATCATAGATCCACCAGCCCATGAAGCAATTGGATCCATGGAATCCATGCCCAAAGATATGGCAGTGTGTCAAAACCTTGTACCCCTGGTGAAATGCAAATGGATGTTCATTCCCCTAAAAATGGTATTCATAGGTATTGATCCATACCCATATGGAAACTGCTATCAACCAACATCAACCAACTAATAATACTAATATACTACACCCTACGGAGATGACAAGGGAAACCTGAGCACTGCTGCACTGCTCAATACTGCTCGTTTAGATTTGATTTTGATGCCCAAATATCAACAGATATTGTACTCTGGCAAACTAAGCTGGAACAGGAAATCTCCACTTTTTATTGGAAGATCATATATCAGAATCTATCATTGGAATTCATTGGATATCATCTGAGTAGAAATGGTGGTGCTCTGTCATTTCCGGGCCTTGGCCGAGATGTCATTTTTTGCAAAGTTCCTCCTGGCCGGACGGGAGGTGTTCTTGGCGCGCTGATCTTTTCGTCATCTCGTCGTTTTGCTGTCGAGCGGCAGTTCCAGATCAAGTCTGGCAGGCATGCACAGGCCACAGATCGAAAACAGGGCAGGCCGCTTGGGTGAAGATTCGATCTGTGGGTCCCAAATTGGGTTAACGTTGACCTCTGATCAATCATGCCCCCCCCCTGTTTGACCTTGAATAGATTTCTAGCCACCATCAAACTTGTTTGTAAGTATATATTGATTTTCAATTACCACAATCTAAAATGAAATATATAATGCGATTTCCAAAAAATAAGGAATTCAAAAATTGTTTTAGTATTGATTTAGTATTCATTTCATGGATTTAGTATTGATTTAGTATTCAAATCTGGGTTTAGGGCCAAGAAAAACTAGCTTTATATATTTAGGGGTAATTTATTATTTAGTTTGGGAGTTTGGTTAGCTTTATTCAGGGTTAGTTTAATAATCGTAGGTGAACATTATTGCTACTGTATCGATTTAGCGCAAGAAATGGCCATTTCATGCCATTTCAACTACTGAAAATTAATGAACATGAGATTTAAAGATATTTGAACTTTGAACCATTGTTTTTTCTTGGTGTACTATTCTATGTTTGTAGAAACACATGCTGTGGAAATGGACGGGCGATGACTGCAGGGTTCCGTTACATTTTTATCATTTTTCAGATGCCAGGTTGTTGAGACTCGCCATGGTTCATATTCATTGCTAGTTCAGCAATATCACCATGGTGGTCCTTCACCCATCCTCCTCCCTCCTCTTCGTCACAACCATCGTCGTCATCATCATCCTCGTCGTCGTCATCATCGTCATCATCGTAATCATCGTCATCCCCAACAGCATTGTCATCATGTTTGTCGTGGTCATCCTTATCCTCATCCCTTTATCCTCTTCCTCATCATGGTCCTGTTGGCAGAAATTGCAGCTTGAATCTTTTGGGCCCCAGCAAAAACACATGGCAAGCAAAGTCATCCATGACAATTCGAGTGTATTCAGAGAACCTGCCAAGCCTTGACTGTCGCCACATTTAAGGCATCGCAGAATCGCAGCTGTTAGAATTGGTGTGGGAACTCCATCAACAAACTGGTGACCCAGATTTCCTATCTGTCTTATATGAACATGATAATGTATAATAGAAATTAATAGAATATATATATATATATTATAATATGATAAGTGATAATACATAAATTTATTATCATTGATTTTAGGTCTTAGGTCACATTGATATTTACACACACAAATATATATATATATTAATATATATATATATTCACACCGTTTCAGAAGTCCTACGAAGCCCGCTACTTTGTGCCGTTTTCTCAGACCGACTCCCGATGTACGGCGGCCTCGCTTCCGCGCTGCACGGGCGCCTGGCTCTGTCAGCTGTGCTGTCGAGTAGCACTGGAGGCTGGGCTGCTTACCCTGCTGAAATCAGAATGTGGACCTACAAAAAACTGGAAAGTATGGGAGACTTGCTGATCTGTTATGATTTTGGGCGACAATTATCAACTTCTAATCAGATTATATAGTTAGATATAATTATAAATATGTCAAATTCTGATTAATTTGAAATATCTTCAGGACGTTAGATTTTGCGGCTTTTCGAAGGGTGCCCCATATCCAGGGTTTGGGCGTTTATCAAACTTGAGTAAACCAATAGTAAACCCAGATCCATTTGGGGATGGGTCAAAACCCTGGTACCTAGTGAACCCCAAAATAGCTGGTAAATGGATGTTCATCCCACTAAAAATGTATCTATAGGTATTGACCCAGATCCATTTGTTTGCGGATTAGGTGAAACCAAAAACAGCTGGACCGCTGGGTGAAATCAGGTCCCTGATAAAACCTCCTGCTTTGGGCCGTGGGGATGGCCTTGGATGGCCTTGGAATGAGATGCGCCCACGTAATGACTCACAGAGGCACACTCCCAGGATCTAGAGATGATATGATGTTGTGTTCACCATTCATTGTGACAGCACCAAACTAGTTTTCTTACGCCTTGCATACCAGCATCAATGGATTTACTTGGGGCCCTTCCCAAGCCTGGTAGGTCTTGCTTTGCTGCTGGCATTGTGTTCCTCTGATGAGGTTCACTGGGTATGACTCATGACCTTCCAGCAGTTTCAGCTGGCAATGGGACATGTCCATTGTTAGATATGGCTTTGCCTGTAGGCTACCCCAAAATGGCCCGAAAACCCAGTGGTTCATCATCAGTTTCCCTATTGAAATGACAATATTGGGGCTTTACCCCATTTTCAGACAGAACCCTATTTTGTTATTTCACTTTCTTGCTTATATATCCTACAATATGTATATATGAGTATATATGAGTATATATGAGTATATATGAGTATATATGAGTATATATGAGTATATATGAGTATATATGAGTATATATGAGTATATATGAGTATATATGAGTATATATGAGTATATATGAGTATATGTATATATACAAATATACAAATATATACAAATATATATGTATTTGTGTTTTTGTGTATTTGTGTATATGTGTGTATGTGTATATGTGTATATATATATTCCCCAATGAAGAATGGTTGGTTTGCAGCATGCAAGTATATGTATATGTATATGTACATATGTATATATGTATATGTATATGTTATATATATATGTATGTATATATGTATATGTATATATCCCAGTTATTGTCCCCATTATATAAATATCCTCATTATTCAACTTATCATCAAGTATTCCCCATATATCCTCATAATTCTATCCCATCTATCCCCCAAATATCCCAGAGATATCCCATCAAAGTCTCCCACACAAATCCATAGAAACAAATTACAGTAGTCTGGCTGCGATGCGACGTACTTCCAATGGTTTTCCAAAGGTTTTCCCATGGTATTCCAAGGATTTTCCCGAGGTTTTCAATTTTTTTTGTGCTATTCCACTATAGTTTTCCATAGTTTTTTTTCACTGATTATCCCATACACATTCCCCCAAAAATCTCTGTAAAATGCTTGCTTTCACAGATGTTCCCCCTAAAATCCCCAGAAAATCCATGGTTTACCTTGAGTCAATGGATTGGTTTAAGGGAAAATTTACAGGAAACCATGGTTTTTACCATTAAATGTGGGGTTTTCCTGTAAATTTTCCCCTAAACCAATCCATTGATTGAGATATCCTTAAGTTTTTTGGTGTTCAATCCCCGGCAGATCCTTCGCTTGGGTGCCGCCCTGGCGGCCTGTGCCTTCCTGCCGCTGGCGCGACTCCTGGGCTGTGCTGTGGCCAGCCGCATTCGGTGCTGGGGAAGTCCCAACGGGCGATACTCGGCTGAGGGCGATGGGGATGATGCATATATAATCCAATATATATAAATATATGAATACACATATATATATAATATATAAGCCATATAATCCCATAAGTCATTTACTAAGTGGGATGCACCAAGTAGGTTTCACCAAGGATTTGATGGGGATATGGCATATCAATGGGATATTCATTGGATATGAATATATATTATATATAAAATCAACACTATGATATTTTGGGGTTTGGCGAAGAATGGGGTATATGGCGATTTTGAAAGGGACGATGATGATTAAGCACTGGATTTAGGCTTACCCTACTTTCAGATCATTTTTTCAAACTGCTGCCATGCAGCCATCAAAAAAAATTGCCCAGCTTCCATGGCGAAAAAAGCTGGTGAAGCTTTTGTATATGGCCCTGGCTGAATATGGCTGAGGTCAAATCATCTTGGAGATCCTTTCCTTTTTCTTCACCACCCTCTCCAGCTGCCTTTTCGCAGCAAGCCTGGGTGAAAGTGAAACTTGGGTCGGGAAGCCCAGAAAAGCTGCTGAAGGTTTGTCGAAGAGTTGGGGCCCGCACTGTGGATGCAACATCGGTGCTTTCGAAATTTGTACAACTGAGTTCTATGCCAAACAGGATGGGGCCCTTAGCGTCATGTCGGTACATTGCACGTACGTGAGCGCGGTAGACAGTGCTTGGTGATGCATTCCCGTGAACCCTTTTCGCACCTTTCCGCCCATTGGGGGGCATCGCAGGACATTTCCAGATCATGAAAGTGCCATAAAGCGCCTGTAGGCTTCGCAAAGAGTCAGGATAGGCCGAGAAAACACGTCATGTGCTCAGTGAAACCCCCACTCCGTGCTACCTTTTTGCGACTAATTCGCAATTCTATGCAGTTCTTCGGTGTTGTTACACTGTTGTTACACTGTTGTAACATGTTGTTACACTGTTGTTACACTGTTGTTACACTGTTGTTACACTGTTGTTACACTGTTGTTACACTGTTGTTACACTGTTGTTACTGGTGCACTCTTGGCTTCTAAGATGCATCATATGCAATGTTTGTATAGATATAATATTTATATGTGATGTATCTGCAAGATACATACAAAGTCATGCATATATATATACCTTATACATACAAACATATCATGAGATTGTGACCCATTCAACATCAGTTCTTTGCAATGGTGGCTTCAATGGCAAGCTCCTTGGATGCGAGTCTCAGCTACTTGAGCCCAAAGGCTCGCGACAAGGAGAATGATTCGCAGAATGGGAATAGAGATGTCCAAGATGTGCTGTCCTGCAGTCGCAAAAAGCTTTCGCTGGGATCTTTGGGTGATCGGATTCGTGCCGAACGATCGCGAGCGCAGCGAGAACCAGAAAGTTCCTTCGTGGTGAACAGCCCAGAGGCACTGCCTTGCACCAGCCAAATCCTGCCACCTCAGCACTTGTGGACGCCAAATTTCACCTCTCCAAACTCGGAAGAGGCACAGGGTGCAAATAGGGAGACAAGATGATGGCAGGAGAAATGATATACTTTGCGTTACTTTACATTAGATACTGGTTGAGAGCTGAATTAATAAAGGAGTGGAGAATGCTTCTTTATGCCTCTTTGATTGCCGAGCCGAACCACTTGTGCGGTAGCAAATCAACTGTAGACCTCACGACAGAATGGCTGGGCTGGACCCTTGCATGCTATGGACATTTTTGTAGCTATCAATCAATGTAAATCATGTTGTTCAGTGACCACAGGCTAGAGTGAGGACAGCGTTGGGTGTCCTACAATCAACAACTGGTTGGGGGGTTCAAATATGCATTGTTTTTCGACCATACTTGGGATCATTGGTTGAGATCACTACTATTTTTGGGATGGGTTAAAGCATGATAAAAAACAGCCCATTTTTACCCATTGTTTGGGCTCCCTTTGTTTCAGGTGCTTTTCACCGAAGACTCTGCAGATCAGGGCCCCGAAGCAGCCGAGTTCGATGAGATTCGACAAAAGCTGCGGGCGATTCGAGGTGCCTTGCAACGAAGCAACACGCAGCAGGCTGGACGCCGGTGGTCATCTATGGCAATTCAACATATATAGCTAGGGTATATGGAACATCACAATGTTTAATAGGTAAAGTATAGGTAAATCATCTATGGGTCATGTCCAGTACTGTATGTTATAAATAAGAGGATAAACTCAGTAAGATACAACAAACCTCCCATTTGTGGAGGCTTATGCCATCCACTTCTGGTGATTTTGAGGATGGTTTATTATTAGGTTTACCGTAATACCACATTCACGTTATTAGATGTTACTGTATTGGAGGATAACTGGATAACCAGGGGATTCCATAGTATTCTGTGATCATGGCTATAGTGGTGTATGTACAGTATGTTGGTTGTTTGAAAAGAAGGTATCCCGAATGATCAATCATCCGGTTTCCCGGGGTATACCGCTTTGCACCATTTGCAGATACACCTACATTTATCTATTCATATCTATTCCCTATAGATCTCCATTAATTGTTCTATTAATTCTTCTATTCCCGATGTATCCATCTTTAATCATCTTTATCTGATAAACCATAGGTATCCCATCAAACTCCCAGCAAAATCCCAGCGTTTTGATGGTGTTTCCTCGCTGGAGGCTGAGATGCACGCCATGCTGTCGCAAGCCTTGGAGCGTTGCGAAAGTCTCAAGATGGAAGCGGCTGATGCTCAGAGGACAGCTGCTTTAAAAATGTACCCCCCCAAAAAAAAGACTGGGTATCACTAAGTTTATACTAAGTAGATCTAAGTAGGATTTTACTTTTCTATTTCTTTTTGCCGGTTGCTCTAGATACGTGAAATCCAATTGAGAGGTGTTGAACTCAATGGTAGAAGTTGGAGTGAAACAGTTTTTCTTCTGGAATCTAGTTTGAATCGATTGTAATTAAATGAAACGATGATATACAATAAACCTCCCATTTGTGGATTGTTGAAATCTCACGGAAATTTTCGGGTCAAATTGGGGATGGTTTATTCCGGGTTTACCACGCTGATGCAAGGAGCAAGGAGCATCATCATCATCGTTGGTGCATCCTGGACCAGGAGCACCCATGGTTCCGATGTTCTGGATATTGGAAGTTTGGATGAACACCAACTGTGATACTTTTTGAAACTGAAGCAGTCAGTTTCATCTTTATCCTATACAGATCTATACAGGACAGATGGACCCAGGTGGTGTTTTGGTGTGTTCATTGGCGAGGATTGACGTAAACACTGAAAAACGCTCTTGGTGCACAAGATGGTCCTTAGGTGCAAGTGTCCGCCATTCAACTATATATATATAATATATATATATAATATATATATAATATATATATATATATATAATATATTCAACTCACATTTCACAGATATTACAGATATTTCACATCCTCAACAAATGGCAAAATGGCACTCCAAAACGAGGAGCGCGAAAGCTTGCAGCGCATGGCGTCACAGTCCCGGAGCTCGGAGCAAAGTGCTCGGGAGGACGTGACGACGATGACGTTTTTTGTGTACGAAAAATGGGGGTTACCCGGCCTGGTAATTTAACATAACTATGGGAAATCACCATTTTTAATGGGAAAACTCACTATAAATTACTAAACATACAAAAAACTATGGAAAACCACCATTTTTAATGGGAAAATCCACTATAAATCACCATGTTCTATGGAAAGATCCACCATGTTGAATGGGAAAACTCCACTATTTCGACTGGGCCATGGCTTCAATAGCTATGTAACAAATTACCAGAGGGTACTATCTGAAATTCATAAGCTATATGATAACTATATATGATAACATATGGGTTGAGATCCAAGACCTGATAGTAACACTTAATAGAATTTGAGATACCAGAAAGTTTGGATAATGAAAAACACTGTATTTCTTTAAAGCGAATTCGAAGACCTCTCAGCAGGAAGCTGTGGCCTGGCGCGCGTGGCTGCGAAGCTGTCTGGAGCTCTTGCTGCGGGAGGTGTCGTTGAAACCTGCCACGGAGATGCTGAAGCACTTGAAGACCACTGAAAGGTCACATCTCCGGACTGTTGGATACGGCTGTGTCAATGGGTGTATACTTGGTGGTTCATCCCACGAATCGTAAGTGGGTTAGTTCACCCCAACTATAAGTGGATTAAGTCTACTTATCCCATGTATAACTGGGGTTATATCCCACTTACTAACTGGGATGAGCCACCAAGTATACACCCAAAACTGGCTATTTTGAATTGGACAATGCTGATGTTCCATGACATTGAAGATATTGAAGGGTACCATATTCGTAGACAAACCCAGTAGTTGGATATTACTGTATGATTATATATGATTGTATGGTGTTATTAGATGATATTGTATCTGTATGATATTGGATGACAATAGATCATATTGGAGTTCGATGATGTTAGATTTATGATGTGTGGTTTTAATATTTCTGGTGTGCATGAAAGACACGTGGAAAACAAGGACCAGTTGGTGGTTGTTCTACATGATCCTAAAACAGATGGACAGGTCCCTGCAGCCTGAGCTGTTGGCCAAAATGCCAAGTCTCTACGAAAGCTTGGCTGATGCCCTGGGGAACGCCAGAGCCTCTGGGGAAGGAATCCTCAGGGCACCTCAGAAGGCAGGGCTAGAAGTTCGCTAGCAGATGTCGAATGTGTTTGAACAACCTTTGATCCAGCAGTTGGGAAAACAATTTACGATAGCTGCACTCTGATGATCTATTATGCACTCATGCACTGTCTATACTTGCAATATCTTGCAATCATAGCTGAAGTAGGAATTGCAGTGCTGTCGATCATGGAAAAGTAGATACTTTTTTGCTGAAGACAATTCGAAATGGAGAAACTTCTCTTTGTGAAATCAACAGTTGGGCAACTTGGCCCAAGAAACTGCAGGTTGAAGCTGATGAGCGCGTTGCACAGCTGGAACGCCAACTTGCGCAGAAGGAACTTGCTTTGGCAGCTCTTGAGCAAGAACCATGGCCATTGACAACACGTTACCAATGTATCAGGCAGTGGTGCGTTACCACGTCAGAAGATTGTCCTGGGGAAATTCATCAGTTTGTTTGAGGGTTCGAGGTCTTTTTCTGTCATCAGTGCTTGGGACCCCTACTGAAGTTGTCGTGGTTCTCGCTGTGAGATCCACAGGTATGCAATGTAAAGGATGCAGCGGTTGATGGACAAATGGCAAAGTTGATACAATTTACCTTCGATGATCTGTCAAGTCGCTTTGTAATCTCTCGAAGTGGTATGTTGGCCAGAATTAAGACTGACCCTGTTTACCACGAGGAACCCTGGTTGACCCCCGGCCGTATTAATGAAATTGCTTCTTCGGTTTCTTTGTTGTTCCTCCTCAGATCACTTTGGTTTCAAGAACTTGGTTGAGCACAGATGTATTTCAACACGACTAAATTCTGATGAAGACCTTGGTAAGCTTGGCATGTGCTGTACCTGAGTTGAGTTGAAATCCCAATCAACGGCTGGCAGGTTTCCCACATGAATTTATTTTTGCCCTTGTATCGGTACGAAGGCACCTATTCAAAGTAGAAATTCAACGTTGTTGAAATCCATGACGCCAAAACAAAGCGAATAAAGAAGCAGGAGCTCCCGCATCTTTTGGCAACAAGAGACTAATTTTATGGATCACTCAAAACACGTTCACGCTTTCATAAACTTTCATACATGTTCATATTGATTTCCGCTGACCGGGCTAGTCACTCGCAATTTGCCGCTTCGTCCTTGGCCAAGGAAAAGCGTAGCTTGAGATCCGAGGTGCGATCCTTGCAAAACCAGGTGCAGGACAGATCATGTTGTGCAGGACATAAATTATCCAATATATATAACGGATTATAACGATACATTACATATTCGGAGATCTTCACACTCCACATCTATAATTAATGTATTATGAATGTAATTATATAATATCATAGATCATTGTTTTTAACCGGTATTTATATGATTTCTCTTCATTATATACACACACATTATAATATATATATATATTATATTATATTATTATATATATATATACACGTATAATGTTCAATATGTCACAGCTCCCAGGAGCTGCGCGGCAGCATCCGCGTCTTCTGCCGCATTCGGCCTCCCCGGGGCGCTGGCGCTGGCGCCGAGGGCGCTCCGGGGAACGGCTTCGGCGTCAAGGCCGAAGGCTCCCGAAGCGTCTGCTTGAAGAAACCACCAGGTCCCTGGGGGTCATCCAGTGATCAGTGGAGTTTCACCAGATTTATCCAGGCCTTAATTGAATAATTCTTGGTGGGAGTTCTAAAGCCTGATGATTGGTCAGATGTTTCTATATGGTTGTTGAATGTTGATGTTTAATGAGCCCGAAACATAGTGTCAACCCAAAGATCATTGGGGTTTACCTTTGGAGTCGGTTGAATCACCATGATTCTAGGGCCTAGGGCCTAGGGAATGACAAATCATGGGATGGCTGTTTTTTTTTTGTGACAAAATCGCCAGATCCCATCAACCATTATTTTTCAAACAAATGGAATGCTTTTAGATCTTTATAAAATGTGTGGGTGGTTCTAAACAGTTTCCTGAATGTTTCGGACTAATCCCTTCCTCCTAATACTAAACGTCCCCCTAATACTAAAAACAGGCATCCATCTCCAATTTCCGAAAATTTCAGTTTGGCCAATTTGACTTTTAATTGATCCCCTTTAAAAAACAATTTAAAAATCAACCTACCATTTGTGGGTTCTCCCCCCTAATACTAAAAACTAGTTCACCCCGGGGTGTTTAGTATTAGGGGGGCCTAGTCCCAATCCCTCACTCCAAGCTGCCTGGCTACTCTAGCAATTAGGGGTAAGCTTCGAACTGCCATTTTTGGCAATATTTTAATTGCGTTATATAAGGAAATTTAATTGATTTTGAGATCGGAAAAAATAGTTTTTAGTATTAAGGGTTTTAATTTAGTATTAGGGGTAAGCTTCGAACTGCCATTTTTGGCAATATTTTAATTGCGTTATATAAGGAAATTTAATTGATTTTGAGATCGGAAAAAATAGTTTTTAGTATTAAGGGTTTTAATTTAGTATTAGGGGTAAGCTTCGAACTGCCATTTTTGGCAATATTTTAATTGCGTTATATAAGGAAATTTAATTGATTTTGAGATCGGAAAAAATAGTTTTTAGTATTAAGGGTTTTAATTTAGTATTAGGGGTAAGCTTCGAACTGCCATTTTTGGCAATATTTTAATTGCGTTATATAAGGAAATTTAATTGATTTTGAGATCGGAAAAAATAGTTTTTAGTATTAAGGGTTTTTATTTAGTATTAGGGGTAAGCTTCGAACTGCCATTTTTGGCAATATTTTAATTGCGTTATATAAGGAAATTTAATTAATTAATTAACATGACTTCGATTTGGTTCCCTAATAATAAATACCCCCCTAATACTAAAAACTACCTGCCGTGTTTTGTATTAGGGGGGGGGGTTTAGTATTAGGAGGAAGGGATTATTCCCTGCAAGGAGCTGTTTGTTGCTTGAAAGTGTTTGGTTCCCCACCTGTCAGGTGAGGGTTGTTAGATTTTATGTCAGCTGTCCCGCCTGCTTCTCCTTCTCCTTCTCCTTCTCCTCCGCCTAACTTCAACTGCAAGCTCTAGATCGCAGTGTTCCCCGCCGGACCCGAGCAGCAACCTCTGGATCAAAGTGATCCCCGCCGGACCTCGACCGCAAGCTTCGGAGCAAAGTGGTCCCCGTCGGACCTCCACCGCAAGCACCGGATCAGAACGTTTCCCGCCGGACCTCAACCACAAAGAATCTCCGAAGATGTACCAGATAGAATGCCAGAAAAGAATGTCAGAATAGATGCCAGATAGAATGCCAGACTAGAATGTCAGATAGAATGCCAGATAGCATGCCAGAACGTATGCCAGAACATATGGCAGAAAAAATGCCAGATAGAATGCCAGAGAAAATGTCAGTATAGATGCCACAAAGGATGCCAGATAGGATGTCAGAATAGATGCCAGATTGAATGCTAGAGTAGAATCTCAGATAGAATGCAAGATAGAATGCCAGAATGATATATATTTCCAGATGAGATGTCAGAAACTATGACCAATAAGTGTCAGGGTGGGGATCACTCGAAGGAAAGCAATTTTAATGGAGCCAAGCATGGTAACGTGAGGAATTGAGATTAGGTGAGGCTTTTTGCATTCAAGACTGGTTGGTGGAGCAGTGATAGTTGAGTATCCTTTGCCTAGGGCCCTAGGGCTTAGCAGAGTTGATGATTAGAGCGCGTCCAAAATTTTCCTTGCATTGTATTTGCCATCTTCTCACCAATTTTGATTCTTGCATTTGTGGCGACAGTTTGTTGCAATCAACGCCAAAAACTATTCAAGTGCTGCTGTCCGCTGTCTGTGCTTGTGCCGATGCAACTGCTTTCGCGGGCCCAAGGTGACAGAAGGCACGACTTCAACTTTGATCGCGTTTTTAACCAACAAGCTGGACAAAGATCCTTTGGCATCCTTTGGCATTGTGGGTTGACCATTGGTTGCCAGCAACAACCATGCTATTGAATCCGTGTAGAACCATGCCAGGATGACACTAACTCAACGACTACGTCGTTACGATTTGATTGGATATGAACTGGTTGCTCACCGGTTTCTGCGATACACTGCTAGCCTTTGGTTTTTAGTTGTTTTGGTTGTGTGTCCACGCTTTGTCAAAGGATAAGGGAAAAAAACCCTTAAGACCTCAAACATCCAACCTACTCTCAGACGCCCATCTGGAGAAGACCAAATTTATATAAATTTATACAATGACATATTTATACAGTTTTTGGGTGCAGCCAAGGAGATTTGTTCGAAGAGGTTGGACCTTTACTGCCTGGCATTCTGGAAGGTATCCATGTTTGCATTTTTGCATACGGCCAAACAGGAGCAGGGTATTCTCAACTGCCATAGTTGCATTTCTTGTATTAAATGTCGGGACAAGTGAGCCCAGTGTTTATCCTCCCGTTGTATCAAGATCAAAAGGTCATAAAGGTAAAAAGGTTCCATTTGGAGTCTCAACATGAATTCTCCCAAGTCATCAAATGTTTTCTCATGTTCTTTCTTTTTTAACTGCTTCAGTCAGAGTGTTCAGTTTTCATGGCATTTTCAACACCAGAATTATAGCCAAAATATCAATAAAAACTCCCCAGGTTTGTTCAGAATCGTCCCCAGGAGCTGGAAAGACCTATACCTTGGCAGGTCAACGAAGCTCGAAACAGCCAGGCATCCAGGACCTGGCCATCGGGGATCTTCTTCGCTTGGCCAAGGAGAGTTTCGAGGTGCGCCTCACTGCGCTGGAGATTTACAACGAATCCATCCAGGACGAATCGCCGTAGAATGTACCAAATTGAGGAGGATGGCATTTGATACTGTAAATTGAGAGATCGATGAGATTTAGTTATTTTAGTTGATAATTACTATATTATCGATGATATGTCATGATATTCCAAAAATGATGACCCTTGCGTCAGCTGAAAGTTGCCAGCTGTCTGCGATTTTTCTTGCTGGATGTGGCGGCAGGATCTTCTTTCGACTTGCGAAGGGGCCTCGGGCCCAAGTCGAGCGCCGAGCGAACGTCTTGAAGTTCGACAATCACGAGAAGGTTTGACTTCAGATGCTGAGACTGAAGCAACATGGCACAAATTTGGAGATATTTATACCCTCCAGTAAATAACATAACTACTAGGGAAAATGGCACATGCGTAGATGATTTACCCAATCAAAATGGTGATTTTCTGTAGCTGAATGGTGCCAATGATTGCAGATGCTTGCAGTCATTAATAGACCTTATGTATTGAGACCTCGCATTGTCCTTGTTGATCTCATATCGCAAGCGGTTGTTTTCACGGACGATTCCTATTTTGTTCCCTGGCTTGGATTTTCATATTTAAATCGAAAATAATCTGTGGTTGGGAAGTTGGGAAGTCGTTTTTGTTTGACATGATGAGCAGATCTCAAGCGATAAAGGAAGCATCGCCATCTCCTTTTGGTTCCATGCGAGTGCCGGGATTGAAGTCTTGGACCGTCCAAGATTCAGCTGACGTGGAGGAAGCACTTGAAAGGGTCAGAACTAAGCGGCATGTGGCCAGCACAGCGCTGAATGAAGCTGGGCGCCCGTGTGATTTGACCTTGAGGCCCTGTTTCTGTAGTGACAACATCATGGGTTCAGGGGTTAAGTGAGCTAAATATGTGGGGACTGGTATAAATAAGTCAACAAAATGCACACATTCTGTTCCTGGGTCTGACTTTTGACCCCTACCCATTTGTTCGGGGAAGCTCAATGAATTCCATATCCAAGGAGAGATCTTCTCGCTCTCATACGGTGCTCTCTTTGAGCGTGCTGAGAAGGTCAGCTGGAACGGTGGAATATCTTGGAGTTCCTGTGGGAGTTCTGCATATTGTGGACCTGGCTGGCAGTGAGCGAACCAAAGTGTCGCAAGCCGAAGGACTTCAAATGAAGGAGGCCAACTGCATCAATCGCTCCCTTTCCGCCCTGGCAGATGTACTCTTCGCCTTGGGTGACTCCAGTTCCTCTGCTCATGTGCCTTATCGCAATTCCAAGCTCACCTATCTGCTTCAAGATGCCCTTGGTGGCCCAGGATGCAAAACCTTCCTCTTTGCCCAGGTGTCGCCTGATGCCCAGGATGCCCATGAAAGTTACTCCACCCTGACCTTCGCTGCCCGCGTCGCCACCAGCGTCCAGAAGGGCCGCCTTCGCCTTCGCACGGGCAACGTGTCGCCCTCGCCGCGTCGGGAGCTGCGGGAGCGCGACTCACCCAGCGCGCGGGAGGAGAACTGGAGGGCTGCGGCACCACCGCTGCCAAGGCGCAGAGAGGAGGCGAAGAGTTAGGAAATCGCTGGAAATCTGCTGAACGTAAGAAATTTAAGAATCAAGCCGAGGGACAAGGAGTAATTATAGTTATAACATGTTAAATACATGTTACAACACACTAGGATATTCTGACAGATTTTGACCATTCGTCATATTCATTGTCGGATTCATTTAGTATATTTAGTTGTAGTCAAGACTTGGAGCCTCTTAAAGAGATCGCTGTCAGGGAGGCTCTTCAGAAATGAGATGAAATAAGCATTCTTTGCCTACGAAAACTTACTGCAGTTTTTTGTGAGTTGTGTGCCACCTCAGAACTGGCTTTGAACAAGCCCAGAAACACCATCTAAAGTGAAACTATAGCAGGTGAAGTGCTAGGTGATTCTGTAGCAATGTTGTGATATCAGAGCCAGTGATGTGAGCTGTTACACCTATAATCGCAGCTGTGTAGCAAAATTCCATTGTTCAATGATGTTCAGTGGATGCTCGCGAATTGTTCCGCTAGCACACAACATTTTGAGCAGTGCAGAAATGATAGGGTTTTTGAGAGTGTGCAAGACTCAATATACTTCACCACTTCACCCATCCGTCCCAATGGTTTTTTCCGCAGCTGCTTTTAGTGCAGTATTGCTGCACGTTTGCACGTCTGCATGTGAAATTAAGAAAGACCGACCAAGCCCACCAAAGCAGGATCCAGACTTGGTACGTGCTCTGGGATGCTTCGTCTAAAAGTGCTGTTCCGACAATATGGTTGTCCTTCTTTGCTGTTGCTGATGAGTATCATTCTAATTGTGTAGTTGCTGCATATGAATTTGTACGTGTCTTTACCTGAGTATCAATGTGCAAAGATACAGGTATTGCATGATATTCAATATGTATATATAATATAATTATAGTATTATCATATTAATTGTATATATATATGGTACCCCCCCCAAGACCTACCAATTTCACAAAAGTACTGGTATTTACAGTAAAATTTGCTATTTTTGGTATGTAATTTTGGATTCCGGGATTTGGGGGATGTTATATAGTGTATATATACATATATATATATATATACATAGAGGATTCAAGCCTTGAATCCAACCCTTGTGGGAATCTTGGATCTTGGATCTTGAATCTTGCAAAGAATGCATTCAGAATGCATTCTTTCGGCAGGATTCAAGATTCAAGATTCAAGATTTCTGAGGACTCTTTGGAGCAAATCTTGAATCCACCCCCTGGATTCAAGATTCAAGATTCAAGATTTCTGGGGACTCTTTGGGGCAAATCTTGAATCCGGATTCAAGATTCAAGATTCAAGATTTCTGGGGACTCTTTGGGGCAAATCTTGAATCCAGGATTCAAGATTCAAGATTTCTGGGGACTCTTTGGGGCAAATCTTGAATCCAGGATTCAAGATTCAAGATTTTCTGGGGACTCTTTGGGGCAAATCTTGAATCCGGATTCAAGATTCAAGATTCAAGATTCCTGAGGACTCTTTCCAGCAAATCTTGAATCCAGGATTCAAGATTCAAGATTTCTGGGGACTCTTTGGGGCAAATCTTGAATCCGGATTCAAGATTCAAGATTCAAGATTTCTGGGGACTCTTTGGGGCAAATCTTGAATCTTGAATCTTGAATCCTGGATTCAAGATTTGCTGGAAAGAGTCCTCAGGAATCTTGAATCTTGAATCCCTGGATTCAAGATTTGCCCCAAAGAGTCCCCAGAAATCTTGAATCTTGAATCCTGGATTCAAGATTTGCTGGAAAGAGTCCTCAGGAATCTTGAATCTTGAATCCTGGATTCAAGATTTGCCCCAAAGAGTCCCCAGAAATCTTGAATCTTGAATCTTGAATCCTGGATTCAAGATTTGCTGGAAAGAGTCCTCAGGAATCTTGAATCTTGAATCCAGGGGGTGGATTCAAGATTTGCTCCAAAGAGTCCCTAGAAATCTTGAATCTTGAATCTTGAATCCTGCCGAAAGAATGCATTCTGAATGCATTCTTTGCAAGATTCAAAATCCAAGATCCACAAGACTTTTGATCAAAATCTTGGATTTCTAAAGAAGTTTCATAGGGACTAGTAAGAGTATTCTGGCAAATTCCAAACCCAAGATTTGCACAAGACTTCTCCGCAATTCTTAGATCTTGGATCTTAGATCTTGGGAAGAATGCATGATCAAAATCTTGGATTCCTAAAGAATTTTCATAGGGATTGGTAAGAGTATTCTGGCAAATTCCAAACCCAAGATTTGCACAAGACTTCTCCGCAATTCTTAGATCTTGGATCTTAGATATTGGGAAGAATGCATTCTGGATGCATTCCTTTAGGCTGGAAAAGACATAAATACAATTCCTGCCATCCATTGTCACTGCTCCATTCTTGCAATCCATTGTCACTGCCCCAGTGCCATTCTTGTTCTCAGCTTTCATCGCTTCCCCTCTTATTTGCCATGGCGTTCTTCAACGTGACCGGCACGGTGAATATGTCGCAAGGCAAGGCCATCATGACATTGACACCAGAGCCTGACATCAAAGTGACCATGACTCGACCGTCAACATCTCAGCTCCTGGAAAAAATCGGAGCAGGAACAGTCAAGGTTCATGACAGCCGCCATCCAGTTGCAAAGAGAGACCTGACGACTATGATGGGCACGATTCAAAGGCAACTGCGCCTGCGTCCGGGAGGTGATGGTGAATGGAGTGCAGATGCCCAGCAGCGCTTAGAAAACTTACTGGCCAATCCGAAAAGGAGCACTGCAACTGTGCAATTGGCCTTGGAAGATGTGAAGCCATCATCCTCCAGTTCCACTTTGGAAGAGAAGAAGCCAGCATCCTCGTCTTCCACATCCGATTCCGATTCGGATTCATCATCTTCCGAAGGTCCACAACATCAGGCAGATGCTGAACTCGAGAAGGTGGTCAGTTTCTTCACATGTGCTATGCTACAGCTACATATGTGGGCAAGATGTGTCCAGGTGCATGCGTACAAGCTACTTTCCTGATGCAGTGTTACAATAGGTGAGAAGATAAAGAGAAAGACAAGGCAGTCAAGGACATATCTGGTACACAAAATGTCTCGTGTCTTGTTTGTCCTTTCCCACCCACCCAGGTGCTCTCAGTGTTCATGCACCTACGTGGTCAGTTTCTTCACATGTGCTATGCTACAGCTACATATGTGGGCGAGATGTGTCCAGGTGCATGCGCATAAGCTACTTTCCTGATGCAGTGTTGCGATAGGTGAGAAGATGAGAAGAAAGACAAGGCAGCCAAGGACATATCTGGTACACAAAATGTCTAGTGTATTGCTTGTCCTTTCCCACCCACCCAGGTGCTCTCAGTGTTCATGCACCTACGTGGTCAGCTTCCTCACATGCGCTATGCTACAGCTACATATGTGGGCGAGATGTGTCCAGGTGCATGCGCACAAGCTACTTTCCTGATGCAGTGTTGCAATAGGTGAGAAGATGGGAAGAAAGACAAGGCAGCCAAGGACATACCTAATACAAAAAATGTAGGTCTTGGGGGGGGGGTAGCATATATATATATATACAATTATACATATAATATATTATAATTATATATATAATTATATATACAATATTATACACTTATATTAATTCTCACTAATTTGCTTTGCAGCTACCTCTAAGGTCATGGGTCTCGCTGTGGCCACCGTGGCCCAGATCAGACAACCCGGCAGGCTGCCGCGGAAATCGTGATGTCTTTTAATGTGGAACTCAAGAGTACTGACAAAAAACTGAAGTCAGAAACTCTTGAGGCGATGAAGGCAGATTTGTGTTCTTTTTGCAACAGTGTTTGGCAATTTTCCCGCTGCCTTTGGCTGTTGGAGGCAAGGACTGTCGTGGGGTTACTTTCCACAGGAGGCAACTCATCGGAAGGTTCGGTTCAGCCAGCCGTGAAAGCTCTGGTTGAAGGTTTGTTGAAGGTTTTTTGAAGCTTTCATTCTTGCTTTCTCTGGCAAAGTTCAAGACCCTCTGAAATAAGGTCGAAACATGCCGTAGGTGTTTTTGGGTTGTTCCAAGTTGTTCCAAGTTGTTCCAAGTTGTTCCAAGATTCCTGCTGCGCCAGGTGAAAGCACAGCTTCCATGGCATGGACTGGCATGTCTTGAAATGCCACAGATCAGTGGCCACCATTTTTGGGAAAGGATCACAAAACGAGCCGGGCTCGGGCTCATCATCAACAAAACTGCCAGGATGTTTGTATCATGTGTGGTCTTGACGCTGTTGTGCCTCATTCTTACATGGCGCGGCCCTCAGGTCCGGTGCTGACAGGAGACATTTTGGGATTTCCATAGATGAATGGGGGATCACTAAAATGTTTTTTTGGCCTTTGGCTTTAGTGCTGTGTGACAGCGGCAGAGACAACCAGCTACGCGTGAAATCCCCACCAATGATTGTGATCATTAATTAAAAAACGCAAACAAAAACAAACAATCAGGGGACAGTCGAATGCACGGATGCAAAATTACAAATGCCGGATCGAATGCATACGAATGCATCCTCTCAGGGTGATCACTAAAATGGTTGGTTTATTATAAGGGAAAATCCATCTATAAATGATGGATGATTTAGGTACCCCCATTTTAGGAAACCTCCATGGCCAAGCCCATTTGACATTCAGATTTCCAACATGCAACGGGTTGCTGCACGAGGTTTCTATCCACAGGAAGCACCTTTGGCCCCTGGATTTGCACCGGTCTAGTGGTGGGCCACTCAGACATTGGTGGAGGAGGATGGTTTGCGTGTTGGAAGTTGTTATGGGAAATCCACTATACATGGAGGTTTGATAAATGGTGGATTTTCCATTGCCACGTTTGATGAACTGGTGGTATTTTCAGTGGTCCAAGCCCAAGTGGTGCAGGTCCGAGCATTGTTTTCTGGGGTGTTTGAAGATTGCCAGCAGGTTCTCTCATCTGTGGAGTTGCAAGGCATCTTGATGGAGGCAGTGGCTGGGGTCTGCTTTCCATACCTTTCCACCACAGCTTCTTGTCTCATGCAACCTGGAAGTTGAAATTCGCTGGGTTTTTGGAACATTTTTCTGTGGAAATGGATGTGAATGGATGACCATGGTGAGGTTCCCACCGTCCAGACATGTGTAGAGCCAGGGTGTCACTTCTTCGGTGGCTGGGGATGGCAGCGAGCTGCTGGAGGCGCTGGTGAAACATGTCCATGAAAGGAACGAAGTATTTAATGCTGGGATGGTAAAATGTTTGTAAAGGGTTTCTATTTCTGAGCCACGGCTATATGGGGCTGTTCCAACCAAATCGGGTTTGAAGAGTTTCTAAACGCTGTGGGTTGGCCGCCCGCAGACAGTCTTGGCTGCCAGGGATTGTTGCAGCCCCTGAGTTGCGAAGGTCCAGGTTTGTCCAGGCGGGGGGCGCACTGTCAACATGGCCATGATAGATCATTTGTTTGCCTTTTTTTACTGAACATGAGAGTATTTCAGTGCCGAAGTGTTAGAATCTGCGACAATCACTTAATAATCATCGAAATTTGGTTGAACAATTCACAATCATCGATCTGTAAATCCCCCATAATCCCCCATTTTCATTGGTTGACTTCCAATAGTCTTTGCATTCTGCCCACCGAGTGAAGGTGGTTGGCTCTGGCAGCCTTGGCCAATGCCATTGTCTACAGACAGCAGGCACGGCACATGCCACCGATCTCAGAATCTCGAACTCTTCGAAAGCCAAGGACCAAGGTGTGTTTTGATTGTGATTATACCATCCGGTTATTTAACAGTTTGCCATGGAAAATCACATTTTTTTATAGGTAAATCCAGGTAAACCATCTATAAATGGGCCATTTTCCATGGCTATGTTAAATAACCAGATGGTATGTGTGATTTCACTTCATTTCATATCTTCATATACCCTCTGGTAATGACTAACATAGCGAAAATGACCATAGAAATAGTGGATTTTCCCATTAAACATGGTGATTTTCCATATAGTTATGTTAGTTTACCAGAGGGTATCTTCTATCTTATCTTATCATATCCATGCACCAAAAGAATCCACCCAGCACTGACGCCCCTGCGCTCGCGAGGCACAAACCTTGGCTCCGGGCTATCGCGCGGACATTCAGCCGCCACCTTTCGCAGCTCAGGTGGTTGCGGGGGTCGTTGCAGGGACGATGTATCGAATGATTTGTTGCGTTGGTTGTCGGTTGAGATCTTTTTTGGGTTTGTTGATTGTTACATTTGTTACGTTCCAGAAATTTACAGCTTGCGACGAATGTCTCGTTCTCGTTGGTCAAAAAGCATGATGCTGATCATTACGTCTATGTGGTGTCCAAAAATGGTGTATACCCCGAAATGGCAATTTTAATATTGGTAAGGATTGGTACGGAAAAGGAGTAATTATAAACAAGTGGGTTTTGGGGTATCCGCGATTTTCATCTATGTTCATCATTGTTCATCTACTTTCAGACAGATCCACGTTGAGTATTTCCAAGGTGGGAACCCACCAACTTATAGCCGGGTTTTTAAATCACTCACTATAGTTACAATGTGGTGCCCCCAAGATACCTAAGTTGGTTTATAACTCCAATAACTAGGACTTATGGTAGGTGTATCTATAGTTAATGGGATTATAAACCAACCTATAACTGGGGGGCACCACTATAGTTATGATTGCCAGAAGCCCCCCGAATTGGAGTTATAGCGGCCCCACCTGGTGATGCGAAAAACGCCAGGTCTTTGGGCTGCGTGGTGCTGGGCTGAGTGAATTTTAGATGGCTATGGCCGCCATGGCCTGGCCTTGCTGATACGCTCTGTAAAATACGTTAGAATATGTTAATATATAATAATATATATATATGGTCCCGTGTCTCTTGTTCACAGCCCCCCACCACATCCACAGGGGGGAGGGATACATAGACACATGCATATACACATATACATATTATACATACTTCAAATATTGACTTGCCCATTCTATTCTGACATTCGCATGCTTCAAAATGATCCTACTCCAGGTCTTGAAAATTTTGCAAAACCAAGAAACAAACAAACAGGGACTGTGACGCCCCTGCGGCTTCAGTTGGGTGAATCTTGGTGCCTTGCAGGCATTTTCTTGCATAAGTGGGGTGAGATTTTTTTTGTTTCATTAAATTCCTAATGGCCTCCACTCATTGAATTTCCAACCTATCAAAAGGGTTGTTCACCCCACGACTGATCAATAGGTTCCGGAACTGGCTTCAGGACGGATGAGTAAATTTTTGAATATTTGAATCCTTTTCATCACATTGGTGTCAAACCCTTTTCATCACATTGGGGTCAGGAATCGTTCTCACTGCAGGCATCATTCTAACTGCAGGCATCATTTTCATCACATGAGCATGTGGAATCGTTCTGATCACATTGGAGTCAGGAACCGCTCTCATGACATGAATCGTTCTCATCGCATTGGTGGACAGAATCGCTCTCATCTTTTAGAAGCCGGAATCACTCTCATAGTGTCATGCGTTCTTGTCGGAAAAAGCATTTGCTTTTTTTTGCAAAAACATGAAGGGAAGGGAAAAAACGAATGGAACAGGTAGCGACTTGACACATACTTTTCAGAGTTTTGCATTGTTCTCTCTAAACCCTACTCTCGGCAATTTTTTAGCAAAAAAAATCCGCGCGACACGGAATCACTGGTAGCATTCCACCAAGGATAGGGAAGGGAAGGGTCGGCAGGATGTGCAGATGGAGAAGCGTGTAAAAACTGAAAAGGAGATGTGTGAATGAACGCATTGGTGTCAAATTTCGTTCTCATCACATTCGTGCCAGGAATCGTAGCATCAGTCTCACCACATTAATCTCTGTCAGCCTGTGGAAAGGTTTCTCATGCCATTGGTGCAAGGCAACAGTTGCTTTTAAAACAAGGTACAGTAAGGAATCTATAAATCTTCTGTTTTTAACATTTTTTTGTGATAGTGGGGGTGTTGCTGTAAAGATGGGAAAAGAATCTTTGAACCATGCCCCCACTCAAGTTTGGTGGAAATTTGTTCTGTTCAGTCTCTGGAGCCATAGGAGGCCTTGCCATTCTATATGGTCTGGAAGGGGAAGAAAAAAAACATGTGCGTGAGTGATGTCCACTTTGCTGTTCTCGGGTGTCGACAGTTCCCATCATCATTTCTTCAGATTTTTGATCTAAAAATGGCAAGTAGGGTAAGCTACTGGGAATGGGGCAGGTAGAGGTTGAATTGTTGCATCATATTATTTGATTTTTCTATTTTTGAAATGATATGTAGAAATATCATATTTCTATATATGTCTATATTTGTATCATGGAAACACGTGGATATAGACAGTGAGTAATGTGAGTTGTGTAATTGATTTTTAAACACATTAAAGATGGTTTGCCAGATTTCTCTCCCTCGATTTTTAGGAATCCTAATGAGAATGGGCATCCAACCTGCCCAGGATTCTAGGAGTTGTTGTAGCTGTGATGTAGCTAAGATACCACGTTGGGTCACTCGACTGTAAGAAGAATGGTGTATTCTCCAATGTTAACCCAGGATTAATAAACCTCCAGTTTAAAAAGGGTGGGTTCCGTAAACTAGAGGTTTATTAATCCTGGGTTGATATTACTCTAAGTTGCCTGATCTACGGTGATTTAAAATAGAATTGAAAATCCTCTCATGTTTAAAAGGTAAAATTCGGTAAAATCATCTACTTTGGGCCATTTCCATTCATGACCCCGAGGCAAGGCGCGCATCACAGTGGTTTCTGCTTTCCAGGCAGATGCTGTAGACTGTGTCATTGTTGAAACCGTGGAACCCCATGGGTATTAAATGTTCAATAATGGTTTCGCTGAGCCATAATAAAAATGTGAAAACGTGTGAAGCCAGTGTCTTTATTTGAATGCCATTCTGAAGTGACCTTCTGGATTTGGACATGGTCCATGGTCGTTTGGGTGATTGGGCTGATTGGTTGCTAGCCGCTAGCCGCTTCCAATCTGATTCTATTCAGATACAAAAGGCACAGGATCAGGTTGTTCTTTATGGCAGCCATGAAACTGCAGCCGGGGCAGCTTGTGGCATCAGTTGGCCATTGTCCCTTTGAGGGTTTCTGGTTTGGGGGTCCCCCAAAATCATCCAACATTATATAATTTGTATATATATATATACATCATACATAATATAATAAATAGTAATATTATCGTATATAATATAGTTTAATATAATTTAATATATCATATCTATGTATAATATATATATATATATCATTATACAGTTTTAACATATAATATATATATAGACTGTATATAATATATTAACATATACAACATATAATAGTATGATATATATATACCATATTTAATAAATATAATATAAAATAACATTAATATTAAAAATAAATGATATATATATATATTATATTTTTATAATATGTAATATTCGTATATAATACATGTAATTTACATATATGTATAATAATTCTATAATAATTCTATAATTCTATAAAATCATCGAACATTAATATAACTGTGATGATGTTTTTGTATTTAAACCCAAGGTTTTGGATAACAATCATTTTGGACCATGTCAACTGATCTGCGAGGCACCCGATGGGCGAAGTTTTTTCGCGGTGTACCTCCAGAGCGCTTTGGAGGTCATGGATTAATTGAAAGCTATTGGTGAACTCCCCCATGGAAACCTCCACTTGGGATATACATTTGGAATATAAACAAATATATTATATATATATATTTGAAATGGGATGTTTACATAACATCTGTGGATTTTTAATGATTTGTATGGGATATGTTTGATACCATCCGCGTAATATTAAACATCCCCATTGCATGGTCCCAAATATTTGTACATCCGCTACTAAACCATGGTTTCTGGGGCGTGTTTGATCTTAGGGGGAAGGGATCACTGGCACATTCATCCAGCAAAGTTCATTCCACCATAAATTGTGATTTCCATATCTCTGCTACGCTACTGGAGGGTACGAGGAATATTACCAACAATTCGGATATTTTACGGAATATTTTGGGAATTTTAAATATATAAAAATTATGTGATATTTATGGGATATTCATTTGATATATCATCCGCAATATGGTATTTGGGTGTGTCTGATAATTGAGGGGATATCCATGTATAGATGGCGGTTTTAGGGGAAAACATGATTTAAGTGGATCCACTGTACGGGAACCCTAGTTTCAGCCAAAACCAAACGAGGCCTACCAGTTGTGGATGGTTGGTAGGTGTGTGAGAACAATAGGCAACCACAGGCACAAGCACTCATACTTAGACGGGGTACATGACAGGGGTCTATCCACGCTGAAACATTCTTATGATTTACTTGTACTTCAAGTCACATGGTTATGTACTTTTGAGTTGTGGCAAGGGGGATCAAACAATATCAAATAGATCAAACAAGAGGTTCAGAGCTACTGTTACTGGCCCAGGCAATTGGTTTGCATTGCAGTTTCGGGAATTGTCTTTGGATGTCAGATTGGCCGCCCCCAAATTGTCAATCTTCAACAGGTGCAGAGCCAACCATGCCATGTGTAGGGGCTGGGCTTTACGACGCCCCAGGTGCTGCGCGAATTTACGATCCGTGTGCAATGTATCGTGGCCGCTTCAAGGAGCGATCTGGGCATCGCGTCACCAATGAGATCATCGGTTGGTGGGAGGATGGATCCAGTTGTTTTGGATCGAACGTCGGGATACCAGAATTTGAGCCACACTTTTCTGGACAAAGGTGTTCACTTGGATAAATAATGAACAAGTTCATGTGACTGAATCTACAATCTTGTAAAGCTTTCTTCAAGGTCTTGAGAGGTCGTTTGATCAAAGAAGGAAAGACACCTGCTTTTTGACATGGTGCAAAGATCAGAACCCCAAACACCCTCAAACTTTGACTCTAGTGTCCTAGAGCCTCTAGAGTGAGGCCCGGGATGCCTCAAGCTTGAGTTCTTCGCATCATTTGCCACTCATTGCGTTTTGCGCTAACAGATTTCAGCAGGGTACAGGTAGAAAGGCGTTGGGTTGGCATCCCCAGGCGCAAGGGCGCAAAAGCTTTTGATTTGGCGCAGTTGCAGGCAATGATTTGCAGGGTTGCCACACGGGGGTTCCCCAATGGCTGGAGGGTTTATACATGTAATGGAAAATCCTTTTAAAATGGATGATTTAGGGGTACCTCCATTTCAAGAAACCTCCACATCTTGTCCCCTTTGGTGAAAGATGGCAGAGGAAAATTTACCGACGCACCGGGCCAACCCCCAAGCAACCAAATAGTGTCCTAGACGAATAGTGTCAGTAGACATGCACGGCAATCACGGCAATCGGTTTCTCTCTCGGCTTTTGAGGCTGTAATCCACAGCCTGGGATCAATGACTGGTTGATAGTTCCTTCTATGCAGGGTGTACAGACTGAATTTGGCGATGACTGCTGATAGGAAAAACTTTCTGCACTGTTGATGGCAAACAATGGTACTCAGCCTCCCACTTGGGTTACACTGCTGGTTCCCACATTGTGAGGATTTTTGAGGTGACGTTGACCCCAAGGCACATTCCTTGCATGCCAAAGGTGGTACCAGTGGTACCTTTGCCCCACAGGTGCTGGAAACAGATGTCGTGCAACTGGCCCCTTTGATGAGGCGCAAACAGGTCAAGTAGGAGGGCCATCTCCAGCGGCCCTGATATCGGAACGACCCTTGTATTTTGAGGTCCGGTTGAGATTTGAATTTTCAGATGCTTCCAACATCTTCAAACCAACTGTTTAACAACTAAGATCTGCTCTAAATCAATCAAAATCAATCAAAATCAAGTAAAGATCATGGATTTATAATGATTTATATAGATTTATATCAATGAAGCATCCAGCCTGAAAACAGGATGGCGGCCTCTGGCCTTAGTGGCTGGATTTGTCTCAGTGGCAGCCTCAGAAATCCCGTTGTTTTTGGAATCGTTGGATTCTGTGTGCTTAGCCCTCCATTATCATCTACCTGTTATTTAACAGTTCGCCATGGAAAATCCACCCATATTTCAGAACGGATTTTCCATGGCGAATGTCGATTAGGGCCATCAACAAACCATGGCGAAGTGTGGAAAATCACCAGATGGTACTATCCTTACCCATGACGGATCCATGGTGCTGGTATATATATATAGCAACATAAAGGGGGTATATTGATGGTATATAAATGTTACCATATATAGCAGCATACATGGATCCGTCATGGGTTATAAGTCCCCCTGGATGTGGAAAAGCCCATGGCGTTGAACGAAAAGGCCCAGAAAAATGATCAAATGATGAGTGGTGACGTTTTCCATATATTCTACGGTGAATTTTTTTTTGCCCATGGATGATCTATTTTTATCTATTTTTATCTATGTTTCTATATGATGTTTGTACTATTTCAACGAATCCAATTTTCTTACCTCTTGGTTTTCGAACTAGTGAATTCAAATGCTCTAGAACTGCAGCTTGAAAATTCCGCAAAGGTGAAAGCTGCGGTTCAACATGGATTGGCTATTCCAGTACCAAACCCTTTTTGGGGGGTTGATCACTAGCCCAGTTTGGTTAGTTGAATCTGGGTATCTATTGAATTTATATGAATTTATATTATGATTTTATAGTGTACTAAACACTAGCTGGGAGTCGTTCTAAAATCCATGCAAGACTTTGAGAATCCTTTCGCGACATCAGATATGGAAAGGCCACGAAAGCGCGGCGACAGGTTTCGCGAAAGGTCTGAATACCACTATTTATACGAAAGATGCACACGAAAACATGATCATAATTAATCCCCTGTCCCGATTCTGCTGGGGCGCGAAAGGTAAGGGCAGTTTTGGAGAGTCATAATTTCGAACAACCCTCAGAAAGATGTCCTAATTGTTGGGGACCAGTCACTTTGGCCCAAGGTCGTGATCTGGACAGCATGGGAAAAGTGCAACGAGAAGATGCGCTTAGCAAGGCCGGGGCGATCCCATTGTGTGCCATCCAAGTTGGATTGGATTAACATATATAGAATACTAATATATAGATTAAAATAGATTAACCCATAGCAGCATTCATATTCCTAAGGATTCCCTAATTCCATGGGGTGACGTATGATACGACAGCATACGACAGCCAGAAATTCCATGACCAAGTCGGTAAGGTTCTCTATGAGCTTTGTGGTGGATTGCAAGCACTGCAACGCTGCTCGGTCGAAGAATTGATGGAAATCTAAGATTTGCGAAGTCTGAATCAGATTTCTTGGCGAAGAAATTCGAAGGATCTTCACAGGATCTTTGCGGGCAAAAGGTTGGAGTTAAATTCACTGAGCAAATACCCCAGAATCCGATGCTTCATGGTCAATTTCCCTTCAGCTAAATGGGTATGGATCAATACCTATTAATACCAGTTTTAGGGGGATATTCACATCCATAAATCCCAGCTATTTTGATGTGAACTACAGGGGTACAAGGTTTTGACCCATCCCCAAATGGCCAGAACGAAATCCCGAAAAACACTGGACGCAAGCCATCGCAACCCCCGCCAAGTTCCAGGATTGATTTCCTTGCGCGGCTTGGTGGATCTTTGTCCTGACACGGTCCGCTGTGTTCAGAGCTCCTACGAGGAGGCCAGGAATCAGAGATGTTCCTCCTAAAAAATGATGATTTTGACAGGGGAATATATATGGGAAAATGATGATAAACTATTGTTCATTGTTCTATGCGATTTTGGTGTATCCATGTGTATCCCTTTTTCAATCAACAGTATGATTTCAACGGTTTTTAGATCGGTATAGATTGAGATTGTTTTTCGTGGGACTTTTTTTATGTTCCACAGCTCCAGAAAATACCATGGACCGACAAAATAAGTAAACTTGACATCCAGATATGGCTTTGCATTCTTGTTCTGGGTTACCATAAATGTAATATAATGTAATATATATATATATATTTATTTTTTCTAGCCATCGTCCTGATGCAGACTGGGTGGTCAGCATCTTTTGATCGCTTCGAGTTGGTCATCAGTGGGGTGAGGCGCAGCATAGCTTGTTCCAACTGCTGATCACCTTTGAGCGCTGTGGTCTTCAACAGGCGAGCCCATCATGGCCACATGTAGCTTCGGTTTTCGGCAACCGAAGAGGAAAAGCAACTAGAGTAACAGCTCTTAAGTCTTAACACAATGCATGTTTGACTTTAAAAGAGCAATAGTTACAAGAACCAGAAGAACAGCCATGTTAAGCACATGTTGTGTTACAAAAACAACAAACAAAGAAATGAACATCCACAAAGACGGATCCAAGTGACAGTTTCGGAGTGCAAGAACTTGGTATTTTTTGGTATCTATTGGTATCTACCTATATCTTCATTTGGCAGATAGGTTATCCATGGTTATCCCAAGGGGCTGTGCCCAGGTGGTCCTACCGCCACAGTACAAGCGAATGCTGGAGGATGTCATGAGCCCGAGCTGAGTTTGCCCACGACCGCCCTTAGAATGTGGGGAATGTGGGTGTGTCTGAAAATGGGATATACCATGGTATATATATATATATTTTTTATTTTAAAAATTAACAATTATATATTATAAGTTATATAATGTTATATATATATATATGTGCTATGACGTGTGACCCCAAAATAATATTTGTTTAGTCGGAAAGATGATGAAGCATGAAATTTGGGGTGTAATTACCCCATTTTAAGACAACCCCCGGTCAATCGAAGCAAAGCTTTGCTTCGAGTAGATAGATCTCCCACGCCCATATTGCACACACCAGAAAAATGGTGCTGCACAGACAAAGCAAAGGTTTCATAAGCTTTGAAGAATTGGCGCGTTGCATGAAGGAGTTCCTTCCCTTGCTGAGAAGGGGCGGGCAATGACTGATTCTCAGTTTTACATGATTCCTTTGTTCGACAGTATCACGAGGCCTTTTGTGCTGCTGTTTTGATCCCTTTTGCTCAGACCTTGACGTCTTATGAAAAGTAGAAAGCGATGGACGGCACTTTGTTTGCTCAGTGATTTGATATTAAGGCTTTGCTTGATCCTATCAAAATTCATGGATAGGTTCAAATGTCAATATATGTCAATATATGTCACTATAAATGTCCAGAACCGTTCTCCTACTCTGAATACTGCAGCCAGCCACATAGCTTTCCAGCCGCACCCCGTTCGGCCTGGGAGCTTGATGGCAGAGATCACCTGATGTCTCAGGAGGAACATTTTTTCGAAGCCGCCATGTTCCCGAAATGCGTCGTAAATCTTTTGGGGCACCAAAAATCATCCAACATGATCCAAAATTGGTGAAATTATAGGTAGTTGATGGTAGTTGTTCCAGCCAAAAGATCATCCACCTGATATTTCCAATCGTACCACCAATGGTTTTGTAAACGACCCCAAGTTTGAGAACCACCCATATATAGCCCCTATATGCCCCTATTTGTATCTATTTGTCAGTTTCCAGATATGAAAACCCACAAATAGGGGTATATCTATATATGATTATATATCTATAAATGATTATATCTATATTTGATAATCTACATTGATATAAACACATATCACATATATTTATATACATGGTATACCAATGGTATACCATCAACGAATGGGCCATTTTCCATCCTGGAGATCAGGTTCGACATCGGGTGGATGTCGCCAGAAAATCGCAAGGATTGCATGGTGCAATGCTCATTAAATTCTCATTGAATATTGATTGAAGGCTGATTAAATACTGATTGAATGATTGAATACTCCAGGAAGGAAAACACACATTTCAAAAATATGCTCAGCATATCTGGAAAAGGGGTGCAAATTCTGCAGAAATTGCACCTGGACTGTGCAAAAGGTACCACACTATACTGCAGAGAATTCTGAAATTGGCCCCGGTGTTCAAATCAAACCTCTCTCAAGGTTGGATGGTCATGATCTATGGTTTCCAGGTGTGTCTCCCCCAATTTCATGATCCATTTTCATAGTGAAATATGACAATATGACCAGCGTATTTGGCATATACATTATTTTTTGGGGATTTATCATGATTTATTCATTTTACATAAAATGGGACATCAATGATGAATATATCAGTGGGTCCCCCCAGAAAAAAAAAACAGAAAAGCCTCCTGCCATGAGACTCAGCCTTCGGTAGGAGAAGATTGCTCAGCTGCAGGAAGTGGGTGGCATCGACCAGCAGGACAGAAGTTGAGACCATAGCAAGTGATATTTGTTGCATTTCTTATGGCAGCCGATGATCATGATCAATAAATAAATCCCCAAGTCTCATGGCCTCAAATTCATCAATGGCCATTTCAGGAACCTAAATTGGAGGTACCTACCATATATAAGGCCTATGTAAGGCCTATGTAAAGGGATATACCTCCAAAAGATGGCCTTATATGGTACAGTACCTCCATTTTAGGATCCTGGAATTCCCATTGGATTCATTCAAATTCCCAACAGGCTGCGCGGCATTTGCTAGAGGCAAGCGAGTGGAACGTGGAGGACAGATCGGGCTCACAGCAAGAAAAAGTGTCTTGAGACAAATTTTCAAAGGCTGCGAGGATTTTTGTGGCGCAATTTCCCAGTAAGCTAATTGATATGTTGTAATTGGCAGATTCTTGCCTCAAAATTCAGGATGATGATGTACCCTCTGGCAATTTATCAGTTCGCCATGGTATAGATGGCCCACAGAAATAGATGGTTTACCGTTCTTAAAAATGGGTGGATTTTCCATGGCGAACTGTTAGTCATGTTGCAGGAAGCCCTTCACCTCCACTTTGCTTCCGATGGCCAGGCATGGCCCAGATTAGCTGCACTGATCATGGAGCATCCAACCTCCCTCAACCGTTGTTTTTCAGCAGAAAAATTATGGCACCCCCAAGGTTCAAAAGTCGCATGGTTTTCCCGTGTAAAATTCATTGAATTTCTTAAAAAATCCCGAATTTCCCAGTCGCAACCCTGGGGTTCCAGTCGCAGGTGCCCAGTACCTCAAGTGCTGTCGAAGGGCAGCCCCTGTTGAACGGTGGCCTGGCGGCGGGCCTCGCTGGGGAAAACTTTCTCAGTGTGGCGCGCAATGGCTATGCTGGCTATGCTGACAGGAGCATTTCGGACCTCTTGGGTCTGGTCCTGTTGATGGTTGATGGTAGCTATGGTGAATATGTATTGAATATGTGATATGGCTATCATCTATATATTACTGTACTGCATACACTGCATACACGTATCATTATTGATAATCTATTTATACATATTAAATCATATTAATATATGTATATGATTGTGTGTGATACTGTGGAAGGGAAGAATCTTGCACCAGTTGATAGGTGGTTTATCCCATTCTTCATAGGGTTTCAACCATCCAAGGTGGTGCAGGATTTCTTCCATCCACCGTATGTATTATACACGGATGTGTGGCGGATGACATTCCAATATTCATCCGGACAGTTCAAAATACCCGGCCTGCTAAACTGTTCCATAACTATGGAAAATCACCATTGTTCAATGGGAAAAATTCACTAGGTTTATGGTGATTTCATATTTTTTCCATAGTTATGTAACAGTTTACCCAGTTTACCCAGTTTACCAGGCCGGGTATCCTCCACACTTTGGCACCGCAGCTGGCCAAAAGGACGGCTGCCAATTCTCCAGCTGCCGAGCCACAGGAGAGCCACAGGGTTTCTACATGGTCCATTGATGCTGGATCTTGTTGGGAATTACTAAGACCCATTTTGAAAACCCATAAAATAAATATATTATAATATCAACCAACCAGTAGAGTATAAAATAGATGACAACGGTTTTTTTCTCACGACGGACCCAGTGGGTTTTTGGTACCCGCGTAGCGGGGTGTAGCGGTCATTCATGGTTTCCTTGGATCCCAACATGTCATGAATTTGGTGCAGGAGAAAACATTTCTTGGCGCCATCTCCAAAGCATGGACAACTGCGAGCCAGGTGACAACTCATCTGAGCTGTGAGGTCCAAACTTGATGAAAAAAGAATAGTGTTGAAACCTAGCTGCGAGGCAAATATGGCAAATATGTACTGCCTCTTCAAAAGAGCCATAAACAAAGTCGTGGAATCTTCTTATTCTTCTTTTTTCGAAATGGCAGTGTGTCAAAACCTTGTACCCCTGGTGAACATCAAAATAGCTGGTAAATGGATGTTCATCCCCCTAAAAATGGTATTAATAGGTATTGATCCATACTCAAATCTGTTCAGTACACTTGCGAACATTCTGAACAGAGCAAGGTTTTTCACAGTGCAGGCCTTGCTGGGAGTGGCCTCAGAGGCCTGGACACTGCCTGGTGACAGGGATCCCATTCTTTGTTTGAGCATAGCATCCTGATTTTGGTATAAGAAACCATCATGTCAGTTGAAACCATCCAGAATATGTCAATTGAAAGATTGAAAGCATCCAATTTTTTGTCCCACTGTCAGCCTTGGCCTGCATTCACATGCAACCATGCAGGAAAGCTTCATCATGATTTTGAATCCACGTCCGAATTCTCACACCAGTCCTCAACATCATCATAAGTCAAAATTGACTGTACGTCTACGGAGCACAGCTGCCCTTGATATTTTGATTTCAATCTTCAGAGCTACCTTGATCGTTTATTCCCAATCCGTCTTCCTACCAGATGAACCATTCAGAATCACACCATTTTTTTCACTGCTGCAATGGAATTGTGGGATTTGTGGGTTCATCTTGGCTTTGAGTTCGTGCAGTGCAATACATTGCTGACCTTGTGTTAGGACTTTCAGCAGTGGTTCCAAGACCGTTACGGTCCACCCACACCGCGCTTTTGCAAGGCGAGGCAAGGTGTGATGATAGAAGATTTGTAGATATGATATATGATATATATAATATATAATATAATATCATGTATAGAAGATATGTGGACTGTTCCTGGTGCTTCCTGGATCCCAGGCATATGTTATAGCCTTGTAGCAGTCACGGCCTCAAAATTTGCAAGGCCTCATCCATTTTGCTGCCTGAATTGAGACGGTTTTACGCCAAAACCCAAGTGTTGCGAAGTGTCGTCACCCTGCCATGGGTTCTCAATAGGGGGCCATCACCAGGTACCCTTCGGGGATGCTGTGCAAGAAGCCCTGGGAGAAAGAAAGCTATTGATGGCCTGGTTTCATCAGGAGCGGCGTTTCCCGGTTTCACCGGTGATTGATTAGCAACGGCGGTGGATGGCTTGAGGCTTGATGGTTGTTGGATATTTTCAGATGGTTACCCTCTGGTAAACTAACATAACTATGGAAAATCCCCATTTTTAATGGGAAAATCCACTATAAATGGCCATTTTCAATAGCTATGTTAAATTACCAGAGGGTATGGGTATCGTTTGATGGTGAAAGGGTCGATTCGACCATCATTTTTTCATTGACACTTGGGGAGGTCATCCATGAGGCGGACACGACAGTTCTGCAGGAAGAAAATACAGCTACCCAAAAGCTCTGCAGGCGGGGAGAATCTTGGAGATCCTGAAGGGTTCTGCAGGCGTTGCATTCTGTTGAAAACAACCTCGTTGGCATGTTTGTCTTGCCAAGTTCGTCTGGCATGTTTACAAACCATAAGGGTGACTATCGTCCATCTCGCTGCTGCACAGGGAAGTGCTACAAAACGAGCAGGTATTGACAAATCTGCAGGACAAATGGGGGAGCAGTACCTAATTATGTATAGCACTTATAGCAATTGCGTGATGGCTGGCTGCTGTTGAATATCCGGAACTTGGGAGGGTAAGCACTGTTTCGACGGTTCCTGCAAATCATGAGAGGGGATTGCAAGCCAGCCAACATTTCTGATTGCTCGCTGGTGGGAATTGGCAGTGGCATTATATAGCTGTTTGTCGCTAACACCTTCAAAGAACATTTAAAGAGATGATGTTGTTTTGCATTGTTTCACCATAATTACTGTGTTTCCAGTCTTGCGATGCTGTTCATATCATCCGTGTTTCCGGGGTCTGATGGGAACAATCTATTGGGTGCTGAGCCGGCAGGGTAGTGGTCAAATAATGCTAAGAGTCATGGCATGCTGTCGCCAATCCTGACTGCTGATGACGTCCTGATGACCTCCATCCCCCAACTGCAAATACGTCCCAGAAGCATGTGATTTTTCAAGATTTTTCATTTTAGGGCAAATGCAGGGGTTGTTTGAGATGGGGGCGGGGGAGGCATCATTTGGATTCATTTGGGGGGTACATTTATTTATGATCCTTTCTTGTGGGCGCGGTACCTGGCTTTAGTGACAACATGTCTCAGTTCATTTCCTCATGATGCTGCCAACTTTGCGTGCATTGCTCCTGACGATGTGTTTGGGCATGCGTGGATTGGAGATGATTGGAGCATACCAGTGAGGTGAACAATGGCAAGATGGAACAGGACTACTCAAAGTCAGCAAACGTGCTCTCATCTCACGGCTTTGGCTTGGCATTTTGAATGTTTGACGTGTTAGACTTTGCATGACTTTGCTATTGGCAATCCGAACAGAGGTGTATATGTATGCCAACAAGACCCAGTCCAGATCACACGTGGTGGTGGCAGCAAGGAACAGTTGAGAAAGCTCTCGCATGGCAAGACAAAAACGCCACCTTCTTTGCACAAGAAACGGTTCGGACGTGCTACAATGAAACGGACAAGGGCAACTGGAAGACTCAAAAGCGAGCCCCAGCGACTTGGACTTGTCCACTGGTCCACGTTCGCCAAATTATTTTCACCTGCTATTGCGCATTGGCACTAGATTTCTTTCATTTTCTTTCCCAAGTCTTGGGGTCTCAACCCGCATAGGTTCTTGGGGTCATTTGGTGCCAGGCTGGGTTCGATTTCGTTCAACTTTCTAGAGGTCTAGGGCCCTATTATAGGTCCCGATGTTTCTTCGTACATCGTACTACCGGAGAGGGTTTCCGAGCATCCACAGTTGGCGTGGAGGAGGATTTCCTGCTTTGGGCCGGTGACACCTCGCGCTTCGAGCCTTCTCAAGTTGCAAGGCTAGATCTGCGCGCGATGAGAGGGAATGGATACCCGATAATTCAACAGTAACATAACTATGGAAAATCACCATTTTTAGTAAGTAGGTAAAATAAATTGGCCATGTTCAATAGCTATGTGAAGAATTACCAGAGGGTGCTGGATATCGATTATGATGACTATCGTGAAGAAGACCTGCTGGTAACAATGTCCAGTTGTTAAACATTATTAGATGTTGGGAACAGGTACTGTCGTTGGGAAATTGCCGCGATAGATGTTATCGTGGGATTACACGCACTCACCACTGGGGTGTGATTTGGAGTACAGCAGCACCCTATTTCTACCCATTATGCTTCGTTTATATCCAGATCATTCCAAAATCCAACTTTTTGTTGATGGTTTAGCAGGTTCCAATCTGGCACAGGTACAATTAACTAAGCAAAAAGTATCAAACAGTATACCACACATGGCTAAACCAGCAAACATCAGCAAACTACATGTTCCATGGTTAAAACCCCATGTTCGTTGATTATTGTTGATTAAACAAGCAGTTGTTGGTTTCTTCCCAGTGACAACCAACAATAATTTAGTTGATCAGCATGAATACCAGAACAGTTTCTGAATAAAATCCTCCACATTTCTACGTGCAGGGCCTATTAAATATGGCATGTCTCCATGCCATCAGGCTGTTGGGCTTGCAGCAATTCCCTTCACTCGTTCTGCTGCAGCCGGTGGCGAATGACTTTCATGCCAACATGTCGATGGCTCAGAAGAGATCTGGGTTAATGGGAGTTAAACGATGTTAAACGGGATATTAACGGGATGTGTATATATATATATAACACATTATATAACATGATATAACCACAACCACGATGATGTTCTGGTCTTGTTTGGAAATGGAGATATACCTCCAAACGCTTCATGTTTTTAAAGCACCATCCAATTCCGACCAACTCAGACCTGGGGTCTGGGTCACTGGGGGGACCGACCCACAAATGGTTGGTCACTGGACGTTTGGAGGTTGACAATTTTGATCCATGCCATTTGGGAAAAGTTGAAGTGGAGCGATTCTCAGAATTCAGCATCTTGAACTTTTGAACCTGTTCAGATGCTGAATTGGGCTTTTGGGGTCAAGAATTCAAAGGTGCTTTCCCTTCAACTTACTGCTTAGTAGGGAATTTTCGGGAGTGATCCATAATCACTAGTAATAATCATCCCATTCCCCCATTCCCATCCATTCCCTACGTTTAGCACCAGTGGAAGCTGGGAACTGCAGATCCCAACAGCTGGGACACCCGCCAGTCCCTGTGTGGAATGGCCCCTGGGCACCTTCTGCGCACCGTTGCACAGTTGCCAGCGGGGTCTCCCAGGGAACCGCAGGGAACAGCTTCATGGCGGTGACATAGAGGTGATGTGATGGTAATATTGTGGAAGAACATAAAAAGACGAAGGAGTGGTTAGTGGCTAACTGTTGAACACCGGTAAATGATTCCAACGGATTTCATGTTGTTCTGATTCTGGCCTTGTAAGCCCAGAGTTACCAGAGTTGTGACAGTGTCTATGGTCATTACATGTGGTATTGAGAATAGGCTACCCCCAAATCTATATAGTTGATGATCAGTTTTCCCATTAACAACAGCAGCTATTTTGAAGGCATACTCCATTTTCAGACCGCAGACAAACCCAACTATCATATTGCCGGTTAGATATCCCGTGATATTCCCAGTAAATCCCATTGCATCTCACGGGGTATTCCCATTGATAAATTAAATTCCCCATAAAATGGTTGGTGTGAACTCCTTCTGCTCAGGTTTGCAGTGGGTAATGGATCAACCTTGGACTCCGACATGGTGAGGGATTCTGGGCAAATAGAGTCTTGAAGGTCAACATAGGATAACTGCAAGGCCCACTTGATTGGATACCATATATAATTATAATATAATATATATTATATATATTATATATACACTATATACCGTACCCTCTAGATCCCTCTAGTAATTTAACATAGCGAACTGGAACATGACAGAAACTGACCCATTTATAGATGATTTACCTCTTCAAAATCGGGATTTTCCAGAGGGTACTGGGCATCTGGGCATCTGGGCCTCCAACATTCAAAGTACATTGAAATATACAGTATCTTTCAAATTCTTTCAATACATGGTTTCCATAGTGGATTTTGCCGCAGGAAAGTAGTGTCATCCTGCCAGGTCATTGCAACAATCCAGATGACCGCCCAGGATCGGACCTGTTTTGACATCCCGGTACTGGTTGCGGGGACGCCATACGTCTAGGTATGTTCTGATGATACTTACCTTGTGTGTTAAAAGAAAAGAAACATCTGATGCTCTATGGGTACATACTAAATCTAATCTAATCTCAATCTAATCCAATTTAATGTAATCTAATTTAATCTGATCTAATGTAATCTAACCTATCCATCCATCTATCTATCTACCTATCTATCTATATATGTACATATACACACACACTAGCATTTAAGCTCCTGAGGTTCGAAGCATTTGCCATTCAATTTTGGATTCTTACTTGGTGCTGAGCAAATGACTCAGATGACCAGGTGTAGGACAGTTTGAAGCTATACAATCATCATCTTAGAGAGGTTGAACAGACTGATCATGAATTTGATCCAGCTTGCTGAAAAAAACACTGCTTGAGGACTACAGGGAAGAAGTTCGGAATGTTCAGGACGGAATGGGTGCTACGGTGCAACCATAGATCCGAGTCACTCTCAAATATGGTGAAATTCCCTTGACCCAAAAAAGGCAGAGAGTTTTAAAATTTAGTCGACCGGAACAACATGGAAGAAGCCTGTGAAGGCAAGGAGTCTCTTCGCGGCCCCTTGACATTTCAATTTCATCTGCTTCCTCGATGGCAAAACTTGCAATGGCCGTGGCTGAAAATTGGGGAATTTTCCCAAATTATCTAAGTTAAAGTTGTTTATGATTGTTTATGGGCGTCAATGATGTGATAAACCGTGATAAACCGTGATAAACCGTGATAAACCGTGATAAACCAGGGGATTTTAGCCCCCAGGGCCCCAAGTCTTGGGACCTTGCGATTGGCCTATGAATCCTATGACCGAAGGAGGAATTGCAACGAAGAGATGTGCAGCTGGCGGAAGATCGGAGACTGCGAGAGCAGCAGGTCTGGGATATCTGGGATGGGGATGGTCATCCATAACCCATAGGATCCATGGTGCTGGTATATATGCTAACATTGGGGGTATATTGATGGTAAATGTTACCATATATAGCAGCACCATGGATCCTATGGGTAATAAGAAACACCCAAAACGAATCGAAGAAATAGAACACTAGGTTATGTATTTGTGACTGTTTGAGCAGGATGTTTTTTTTTTTCTATCTTGTTTGGGAGCTTCCGGTATAATTATATGAATCCGAATTAGAGGATTAATGACCAGGCTATTGTCAAGACCAATGTTTTCTTTCTCTGCGTTTTTTGTTTTACATATGAACATTCATGTACCCGCAATTTGGATGTTCACAAGAGTACAAGGGTTCTGATCCGTAGCCGTGTGATATGTTGAAATTAATAAGCCATAAGTTCTTTGGGAGCCACGGTCTTGATTGGGTGCGGTCAGCTGTCAGCTGTATGTGTCTTCAGCAATAGAGTATTTTTCAATATTTTTCAGGCCATTTTGTCCTCGTACTATCCTCCTATGTTTCAGGTGAACGGACAGGAATGCAAAAGTATGTGACATGTGTTTGAAGGAGTGAAGTGGTTTTTGTTTCTGAAGAGTTCACATGACCGGTTTGCACATCGGAGATAGCATGCTCTGGACAATCCGATGCAGACAATGTATTCTGGCTGAGGACTGAGAGTATGAGGAAGCCTTACTTGCAGACCAACTTGCAGCGATTCGCCGAGCAGAGGTCGGTTGAGCAACCACCAATAACCACCATCCCTGGCATCCTACGGAATTTACTTGACAGGTAGATCAAAGATTCCCTCTGGTAGTCCAGCTTTGCTATCCCGTTTATCTCCATTAGGCAATGGATATATATAATAAATATGTACAAATATGATATATACAAATATATATAATATATACAAAGATAATATATACAAATACAAGATATTAATAATATATGTTAATATATTTATATAACAGTACATGATATACATACGTAATGAAGATAATGTCCATGTATCGATGATTTTCCTAGTTGCAACTGGTCGTTTACTGTGGCCCTTTAGCGGCTTTAGCGGCTCATCTCTTGCAGGACAGCTCCCCCGCTGCAAACGAAGCAGCAAACACTTCGGCTGAGGCACCTCCGTTGGTCCGGAAACCGGGATCATTTGGGGTATCATGATATGGGGATGGGTCAAAACCCTGGTACCTAGTGAACCCCAAAATAGCTGGTAAATGGATGTTCATCCCACTAAAAATGTATCTATAGGTATTGACCCATATCCATATTATATCATGGTTGTCTGATGAAGTTCGTAATTTCCAAATGGGAAGCAAATCATGAATTGCTTTGCAGCGCATCCCAATTTGGGATGAGAAATGATAAGCTATACTCTTTGGTAATTTTTACCATAGGGATCCACAGGGTATCTATCTAACTCATATTGTTTGGGTCTGGGTGGAAACCACCAGTGGTCCGGGCAACAGCAGCATGTTGGGTCGACAGGTGCCTGCGAGCCCGGAAGCGGAGAAAGAGAAGGAAGCAGCTGCAGCCAAGGAAGCAGAAGAGGAGAGACAGCGACTGGGCTTTCTTTGGTGAAACATGGGGAAATTCCGGAAATACCCAAAAGTTATGGCAATTTGACGGGACGGTGAAAATACGGTGATAAACTGTGATGAATCATTGATTCTGATGGTGAATAAGTGGTGAATATGGGGATAACAATTTCACTGCGCAGGACGCATTCCAACAAATTCATGGCGAATCAACGTGCTGTTGGCTCCGCTTGTCGAACAGATATTAGCAACATGAGCCACAACCACGCAAGGCTTGTAAGATCTTGCAAGTTGACACTATCCATTCTGAATATAAATGTACATACCGGAAGCACTCCGGAGCAGTAGTGTTTCAACATTCAACAACCTGTAGTTTTCACTTGAATCATTTAGTCGGAAAAACAACGGGATCGAGTTTGTCAGGGATGCGAGTTGATTGGACACGTTTGGCAAGGTGTCAAGTTTTTTTGACTGATTGTCGATTGATTGATTGATTGATTGATTGCTTGATTGATTGATTGATAGATAGATAGATAGATAGGAAGTCTGTAAACATGTCAAACACATGATAGTCGAGTTCAAACTATCCGTTCCTTTTCAGCCATGATCAAAGATGTTTGCTTCGTAACTCATACAATATAAATCCCATTGAAACACGCACACATGGGCAGGTTCGCTTGTACGTTGCCTCCTTCTACCTACATTGCTAAATCTTGGTACACCAACCATAATTACAGGAATTGACGGATTAATGTGGTAAGCCCAACAATAAACATCCATTTATACAACCCATTTATGATCGAAGGAAGTTTAGAAGTCAAAGTATGGACAGATGAAAAGCAGAGATGGGAAGAGTCAGAGAAGAGAAGAGAAGAGAAGAGAAGAGAAGAAGAAAGAGAAAGTCTCAGAAGAAAGAAGATCCAGGTGCGCGAAAAGGTAGGAAAGTCGCGAAGCACTGTGTTTTTCCGATGATTTGTGGCTCCGGAGGGTCGAAAAGCAGGCTCGCTAAAGCGGCCGGTGCAGAGCCAGCTGGCCAGATGAGAGATGAAAAATTGCACGCCGTTGTGGCGCGAAGCACATTTCGAAGTCAAAATGCACAAAACACCTCAGGGTCGGACCACTTTTGGAAGTTGCGATGTCGAAAGAGTGCACGCCGTTGTGGCGCGAAGCACATTTCGAAGTCAAAATGTACAAAGCACACCATTGCCGGACCACTTTTGGATTGAGATGTCGAAAAAGTGCACGCCGTTGTGGCGCGAAGCATTTCGAAGTCAAAATGTACAAAACACACCATTGCCGGACCACTTTTGGAAGTTGAGATGTCGAAAAAGTGCACGCCGTTGTGGCGCGAAGCACATTTCGAAGTCAAAAGTGCAAAAAACTGAGGGGTTCGGAGCACTTTTGGACGTTCAGATGTCGTTTTGCGTGGCAGACGCAAGGGATTGTGCGCGTTGTCAAAAGTGAGCAAAACGTGAGGATTTTGTAGCATTTCCAAAAACGATGGCAGGCGTGGGACATTTGAAGAGGATCTGCAAAGATGCATTTCGCATGGCAGGCACAGTACAAGAGACATGTTCATCAGAGCTGTTAGGAGGTCCGGGCGCTGATTTCCTGAGAGGGGTTGCATCTTGGAGCATCAGATCTTCAGGTTTGCTGAGATGATTTTGCGTGACAGGTGCAGCACGTATGACCTGGCATCACTTTTTCGTGGCAGGCGCAGTACTTTAGACAGGTGGAGTGGAAAAATCGCAAAAAACGCATTGGTACGAGGCCGTCAGCTCTGCACTCAACTTTCCATTTTTGAAGGACGTCTCGCAGAATTGCTTCGTATTTATCCACCTTGCTATTTCCCATACAGAATGGGTGGCCTTAAGGCCACTACAAAATAGGTTTTTATAAGCCATTTTGTAGTGAGGCCACCTTGTAAAAAGGTCCAGGGCCCTCTTCAACTTTGGCAGACCATGGCATTTTGTAGAAAAAACACCGGGGCCCATGGATGAAGATAGAAATTAGTTCGAAAAAGGGCCTTGAAAATCTCAGGCACTTTGTAGTGAAATGACCGGGTCCCATGGCGGATTCTTTATTTCGTAGTGAATCCATTGGGTTTCTGGAAAACATGTAACATGTTGTGATTTTGCTAAAGTATTCCACTTGTGTCTAGTTCAATTTTTGAAATACAGACAGACCCAAGTATCACCTGATTTGCCAGGTTTTTGTTTCTCTATCTCTCTCTCTCTCTTTCTCTTCTCGCTCCTTTTTGTGTGGCGAGTATATGTTTTAAACGCGTATGTTTGATTATTTGCTGTATAGCCACCCCCCCATCACGCCCCTATAAAATGACAGGTCTTCTGCCAGAACGTCTACAATATGGACTGGTGTGTTGTTGTTTACCTTCTTAAGAAGCATCGCAGCAATTTCTAGTGAAACTATTCTCTTCCATGTCATGCCCCTACAAAATAGCAGGTCCCTTTCGAAACACTACAAAATGGGTTGCTGTTCTTATTTCTTGCTTCACATGCTTCAAAAGGTCTGGCCTCCAGACTGCGCAGAATATATTTGCGAGGCATTTATACATTTTCTGTTCCCCCATCATGCCCCTGCAAATTGAGAGGTCCCCGTGGAAACAGCTATAATATGGTTTGGTGTTTTGTTACTGTTATTTCCTGTGCATATTGTCATATAGCCGAAGACACCCCAAGAGAAGCACTAAAGAAAATGAGTTCAAAGTCATACTTAATATTTGTGTGGTGTTTCTATTCCCACGCCCCCCTCATGCCATATCATGCCCCTACAAAATGACAGGTTTCCTTCCAAGCACCTACAAGATGGGTTGGCGTTGTGGTTCTCTTTTTTCTCAAACATGCAACTTAAGACTTTAGACTCTTCAAAGCTGTTTGGGTTCTTGACACCCATCATGTGGTTCCTTCCAAAAAACACCGACACACACACAGAGAACAACATGATCACTTGCTCATTTGTTTCTTCATGGTTTTGAGTCTTGAGACGGAAAAAAATGCAGCGAACCCTTCTGTGGTTTTACTCCCTTCAATTTAAGTTTTTGGTGCATTTTGGGTTTACTACAAAATGGGTCTCTTGAAATTGATCACGCAAAGCGGCTTTGGTTTTTTCAATCTGCTCAGGGCCCTTCGATCCAGTTTTTATCTACAAATTGGGTCCTAGATAATGGTTGAAAACAGCCTTCGAAAACCATCTTGATGGTAAAAAACAGAATTCAACCCCTGTTTTGACACCTTTTCGGTACTCATTTTGTAGCGATATCCAGGGCCCGGATTTAGTAGAAACAGTTTCCAGGCAACCCATTTTGTAGACTCAGGTCCGGCATTTTGTAGAGAAAAATACCGGGGCCACTACTAAATGGGTGGCTCCAACCCCACCCCCCCAAAAGCAAGGGTGATTCGTTTTTGATGTTGTCAAGTTCAAAAAATGAGGAAGTCTGGCAGAATTGCTTCGCTTCTGATGTTGTCAAGTTCAAAAAATGAGGAAGTCTGGCAAAATTGCTTCGCATCTGATGTTGTCAAGTTCAAAATTGAGGAAGTGTCGCAAAATAGCTGCGTTTTCAAATTTCAAACTTGCAGATAGACAGATAGATAGATGGATGGATTAGATTAGATTAGATTAGATTAGACTAGACTAGACTAGACTAGACTAGATTAGATTAGAGTAGATAGTTAGGTAGTTAGGTAGTTAGATAGTTAGGTAGTTAGTTAGTTAAATAGCTAGATTGTTGGATCGATCGATAGATAGATAGACAGATCGACAACAACAACAACTACAACTGCAACTACAACTACACTACACTACAGCTGCAAATACATATGCAAATAAACCACGCTACAGTACACTAATTCCATTACACTACGCGAATTACAGTACACTACACTAATTACACTACAACTGCGACTACAACTACTACTACAGCAGCAACAACAACAACTACTACTACTACTGCTACTACTGCTACTACTGCTACTACTGCCACTACTGCTACTACTGCTGCTACTGCTACTGCTACTGCTACTACTGCTACTACTGCTACTGCTACTACTGCTACTACTACTGCTACAACTACCACTACAACTACAACTACAACTACGTTACACTACACTACAC